AACCTCATTCACGATCCAGACACACACACACACACGGAGAGAGAGACAGAGAGAGAGAGAGAGAGAGAAGAGAGAGAGAGAGAGAGAGAGAGAGAGAGAGAGACAGAGAAACAGAGAGAGAGAGAGAAACAGAGAGAGAGAAACAGAGAGAGAGAGAGAGAGAGAGAGAGAGAGGAGAGAGAGAGAGAGAGAGAGAGAGAGAGACAGAGAAACAGAGAGAGAGAGAAACAGAGAGAGAGAAACAGAGAGAGAGAGAGAGAGAGAGAGAGGGAGAGACAGAGAAACAGAGAGAGAGAGAGAAACAGAGAGAGAGAAACAGAGAGAGAGAGAGAGAGAGAGAGAGAGAGAGAAACAGAGAAAGAGAGAGAAACAGAGAGAGAGAAACAGAGAGAGAGAGAGAGAGAGAGAGAGAGAGAGAGGGAGAGAGAGAGAATTCCTCCAGTGCGTGAGCTAATGACCAACACACACGCACGCGCGAACGAGCCTGAGGGGCGAGAGAGGGTGAAAGTTAGTGCTGTGAAACCTGACAGAACAAAGTGACCGCGCACGGTTTAACGTGCCTTAATCCCAATTAGGCCCGGCTGACACGCAGAGCCTTTCACTGCACCGGCCTGAATACATTTGCCTCGAAAATGAAGCGCACAAAGAGCGCCGCTCCAACCGGCCCGGGCAGCGGAGAGGAGCGAGCAGCGCGCGGAGAAAAGGTATGAATTTATAAGGCGAACCGAAACATTTCAATTCAGACAAAGTTTTACAGCCCATTATGGGGGCTTCTTTCAGCCGCCACAAGAGACTTTAAAGTCAGGGGGATCTCTGGGTTCAAAAGGCAGAGCTAACTGCCCGGGCTTTGAATACTGATTCACATACCCCCCCCATCCAACATACACACCCCCTTCTCCCTCTTTTCTCTTTTTACCCCCTTTTTAGGGTAAAAGTCTATTGGTGAGATCATAATGAGAGCATGCACGCCCCAACGGACACCAATCAGGGGCTGCCTCTCGCGCCCACTTTCTGATGCGGTTTTGGGGTATTAGTCTGGGTTAAATCCCCATCAGGTCATCTGGTGGGACTCCCATACAAGCGTCATTAGTATTCAAAAGCAGCAGTAATGTCCCACCCGCATCCATCAGCCATGCAGCTGGTGCGCCCTCTATTTTCTGCGCGCTGGGGTCGCGCGCTTACTTCGCTCAGGGAATTTTCAGTACGTGTTTATCGTGACGTCAGAATCACACCAATAAGCACTCCTCAGTTTTGAGCACTGCCTGTTTGCTGAATTTGTCTGTTGTTGTTTCAGGTCACGGTCTCAGAGGCTCCGCGCGGTTTTTGGCCCTGGGAACATTTTCCACTGTGAGGAAGTTAAACCTGAGAGAAAAAGGTTCCAGCGAGGCCAAAAGGAGGAGTAAAACTCCTTTTCTCCCTTTCTGGTGGGTCTTAAGGGGCTTATTGTGGCTGTGTGGATAGAGAGGTGAACCCTGGCTCTCCGGAGCATTTTGGACAGATGAATGGAGCTCCCTGGTGGGACATTGCCCCTCCAAACTGTAGCTCTTTACACACTTGTTGTTCCTCTACATCCACGGTTCATTATCGTGCAACCTGTTCACTGAAAAAGGCTTTGGGCTGGAGGAAAGTGCCTCTCCTGCTCGGGCTGTTCTGATGCGCAGTCCATTAAAGCGGCTCCGAAACGCTCCGCAATATTGTCTCCAAATAAAAAACCGCTGCATGTAATTAATGTGCTATTTAAACAGCAGAGGAGCGGGACAAAGCGGCCGTTCAGCTGTTTGATTTCATTTCATTTTCCATCCCATTTACTCCAAACACAGCTTTTCACAGGTTTTTCCAGCTCGGCTTTTTCTCAACACACACACAGCAAAACACACTGTTACACCCACGTACTGTTAGAACACCGACTGTAGCGCTGCGGTAAAACAGTGCTGCATCATAGTTTGCAGTGTTGCATTATTCTTGCATCATAGCTTGAAGAGTTGGATTATAATTCGCTGTACTGCATTATAACATCTCATATTGTGTCATAACTCACAGTGTTCGATTATAACTTACACGGTTATATTATAATTGTTGCTGTATAACATACAATGTTGCAAAACAACGTATAATGTTTAATTGTAACTAATTGTATTGCCTTTTAAATTCCAGTGTTGCTTATAATGTAGTGTTGCATTAAAACGTATATTGTTTAATAGCCTAATGTTGTTGCATTAGAACTTATAATGTTGCATCATAACATACAGTGCTGCATTATAATGTGCTGTGTTACATGATAACATAGTGTTGCATCATATATTGCAACGTGTCACTATTATTTACAGTGCTGTAGTATAATTTACAGTGTTGCATTATATTCTGTAATCTTGCATTATTATTTGCAGTATTGAGCTACAACATACAGTGTAACATTGTAAGTTACAGTGTTGCGTTAAAATGGTGCTGCACTATAATTTGCGATGTTGCATCATCATACAGTGTTACATTATAAACTACGTGTGAAGTGTTGCATTATAACTTAGTGCTGCATTATAACTGATCGTAGTGTTCAAAAGTGCACTGTTAATATTGTAACTCATAGTGGTTTACATTGTGACTCACAGGGTTAAATGAACCCCTACGGAGTTAAATAAATACTTCTGGTGTTGAATTAATATTTAGTGTTTTGGTCAGTTTCTCACAGATAAGCTATGATTATTAATGTAACACTGTAAATGTACAGTGAACAATATTAATGCGGGACTAAGTTTAAATGCAGCGCTGCGCGTCTGAATGATAAATTCAGTTTAATTCAGTTTAATTTAATGTCACTCAGCTCTGATTCGCTGCTGTGAGTTTTATATTCAGAGCATTTCCAGTTTGCGTCTCATTGCTGTTTTTTTTTCCTCCCACATTAAAAAAGAAGAGAATTTCTCATCCCTCCTTTATCAGCCGCATTTCCATTCAGTGTGTGTTCCTCCAGGACGGGGTTGGGAACGCGCCCGGCTGGTGTGTGTGGCTGCTATTGAGCTTTAGGATGGGAACCAGTCACAAATGGCAACATTAATAAATAACCCAGCGCACAGCCGGGCCTTTTACACACACCTATTCAGCTCGGGCTTCGCGTGTCCTTCACGCTTCTTTCACTCATTAAGGGGGCAGAAGAGGGCTGAGAACCGAGCAGTGGGGCAAAAAAGAGCCCAGCTAACGTCCAGCCACACAGACTGACCAGAGGTGACCAGGACAAGCTCAGGGTTTGGATTCATGACCCAAAAATGTTTGTTTATCTCTCTAATCCTCTGGTCAGACACTCAGAGATCAGATCAGAGGGTCAAACCAACCAGTTTAACACCAGTCGATGCCAATAGAGTCACAAAAAGATGCTGTTTTATCTTAATAAAGACACAAATCTGCTTTTTTAATGAGTTTATTGTAACACTAATTAGAGCAGAACTACATCCTGAGGATCTGAACTACAGCAGAGAATCTGAAATGAAGAGAGAAACAGGAATGAAAATAGAAGAAAACATGAAAAAGGAAAACATGTAAAAAAGAAGAAAGTAGATGATAAGGGAGGAAAAGAGGTGATGAAAAGAGAAGAGACAAAAAGAGAAAATGAGCAAAAAAGGAAAAACGAGGAAACGTGATAAAAATAAAAAAAGAGGAAAAGATGCACTGGGTGGATTTATTTATTTATTTATTTATTTATTATGTGGGAATGCAGCCCTGTGATACACAGAGCGATATTTTAAATCGCTAGTCGTTCGAAATGTGGGTTAAATTTAGATACCAAAACATTAGATTATTGGCCATTTATCTGATTAAATAATAATAATAAAAATACAGCAGAAAAATGCTACATAGATAAAATATTAAATAAATGAATGAATGAATAAATAAATAAATAAGTAAATAAATAAAGAAGCGTGTTTTTTTTTTCTAACACCATAATATCAAACATTGATTTATGTTTAAATATGAATTTATTGTTTTAATAAGGTGAGTGAGTGTTTTGGGGTGGTGTGGTGTGGTGTGGAGTGGGGTGGGTGGTGTGGGGTGGAGTGGGGTGGTGTGACATGCAGAGTATCTGCGCAGCGACTGAATAAAACCACAGAAATAAACAATAAAAAATTCCCCAACTCCCCGAATCTGGAGCGCGAGGTGATGAATATGGAGGTGAAAATCTGCGGCTATCTTGTTTTTGGGTGGTTCTCCTGTTGAGTACCTGTCCGGCACACGCCGCCCCTCAATAGCGGTTAACAAGTCCCCAAAACTTCAGCTCCTTTTCTTCAAACAGAGCCGCACAAAAGCGCCGGGGGAGAGAAGGGAGACTCAAAGGGATTCAGCCAAGTACATTTAAAGTAGGCAGTGATTTCCAAAGAGGCAGAGCGAGGCAGGGCGAGGCAGAGCGGGTCTGTATGGAGACAATGCGAGGCCGCAGAATTTATGGGTAAATTATTCAGTGGATTTGTCAGTTAAAATCTCGGAGCTGTCCGGAGGAGAAAAGACCCCGCTGAGGATTAATGTTCCAGCCGCGGCTCTCACTCCCTCACTCTCTCTCTCTCTCTCTCCTCCCTCTCTCCTCTCTCCTCTCTCTCTCTCTCTCTCTTTCTCTCTCTCTCTCCCTCTCTCTCTCTCTCTCTCCCTCTCTCTCTCTCTCTCTCTCTCTCGCACCCCCTCTGCCTTTCAGCAGCCTTGACAAATTAGATTTCTGGGGACGGGAAGGTCACAGGGCCCCTATTGTCCACTAAAGGGTCATTATAGAGAGAGAGTGAAAGTGTATATGTGAGTGTGTGAATGTGTGTGTGTGGGGGGGGGTGTGAGACCAGTCCCTCCTGTCTTGTGGCCACCCTATGTGTGTGTGTGCGCGCGCGCGCGCTCCGTTAGAAAAGCAGCTCTCTCCGCGTCTCGTGCGTCATTCTGCAGGCGGAGTCTGAGCTGCTATCATCCCCTCTCTCTCCCTGTCTCTCTCACTGTCTCTCTCTCTCTCTCTGAGTGTGTGTGTGTGTGTGTGTGTGATGCTCGCGCCCTGCTCTCCCCCGGTGTGTGTGTGTGTGGTGACGGACTGCGCGCTCTCGGCGGGGCTGCGCTTCGGCCCCTTCCCGGGAATCTTCAGACTGGGCCGCTTCGCCTCGGACAGGCGCGAGGAGGGCGCTAAAAAGAAGGTACCATAACTTTTACACACGTTCAGGTTACTGTCGCTTCAATGTAGCGATTACCAGGATTATTATACAGAGTTATTATATTAAAATTAATAAGTCTTTGAGCTGAATGAGTGTAACGTTACTGAGAGGAGAGTTACTCAGATTAGCATTATACTTATTATAGTAGTGTAGTATACAGGTCAATCTTACAAATAATAATAATAATAATAATAATAATAATAATAACGATAATAATAATAATTATTATTAGCATTATTTTAATAATATAACCAACACATGTGCAGTTTCATATCAGGTATAAACATCTGTAGCAAAATACTAACAGCAGTAAAATTTCAATAACAAAATAAGCAAAATAAAATTCTAATATTGATATTTAGAAAAGTAAATGAAATTGTAATATTTGAGATCAAAGTTATTTTCATTATAATAATAATAGATGTTTGTCTGGGATGTTTGTCGAAGCTTTAGATACAGTTAATGGAGAATATAATATAATATAATATCGGTTATAATATGATCATAACTGCAGTAATAATAACAGTGATGATAATAAAGAGATGAGAATCTGAGATCAATAGGCTTCGCTGTAGTTTTATAGATTTCCATAGCAGAAAATTAATGGGAAAAGTTGCAGTGTATTATCACCAAGAAAAAACAATATTAATTTACCTAAAAAAATATCGACAGTGATGGGAAAAAATGATAATAATAAGACGTTAAACTGTTTGAGTTTTAGTGAGTTTTGTCGTTGTCATAGACGCTATGAACGCTAATAACAGTAATATTAGCACAGCTGCTGTTTTTTGTTTGTTATTTAATAAAATCGAGAGTGAATCACGTTTTAAAAGAAATTCTCTAAAATTCACTTTTTACACCTGATTTAAATAATAATATTAATGACAACAATGACGTGATTTAAATCTTATATCCGTGACGTTTAATGGTCTGTTACTCGAAATGCAGCATCTTCATCTTCATCATCTTCACTGCTGTCACTCAGATTCGCGGGGGGGGGCATCTCACATTACTACATTCAGCTAATCCAATCTAATTCATCACTTAATCTGAGTGTAATCAGATTATTAGAAGTAAAGCGATAAAACATTTAAAATCAGAAATAAAATCCTTTACATCGACAAATTAAATTTAAATTTAATTACAGATCATTTTCGAAGCGCAAACAGCTTCGCTTAATTTAGTCTCAACTTGATAAAATAAAAACACCAAAACAAAAACTAGAGAAAGTGACCAACAAAACAAGGAAGACAAAAAAATCCGAATCTACAAAAATGGAATAATTAAGAAGCGATTTTAAATGAATTTTGTGATTTATTATTATTATTATTGTTATTGTTTTGCAGCTGGTCAGTTCAGACGCGCTCATGCTCGCTCGTGCTTTTTATATTTCCTCTCGCTATTTAATCATTATTGCTGTTATTCTATAACTTAACAATAAATCGCGCTCGGCTGCGTGAGACCATGCGCGCTCCCTTCATGAGGGGAGGGGGACGCTGCGCGCTCCCGCGATCCTCCGAGCTCATCAGGCGCAGACGCGCTTTAATTCATAATTAATTAGATTGGATTAGAAACGCACTGAGACTCAAACACATTTATCACCCAAACTCAATTAAAGAGCGTTTATTGTTTGTTTATTGACTGTTAATAAAACCACATTAACGCGCTTAAAAAGATGATCCCCGCGAGGAAAAGCGACAGGTAAAAACAAACAGCTGATCAGGGCCGAATTACCTTCACACTTTTTACACATTGTACACAGAAAAGACGACTCAAATATGAACCATCACGAGCACTGAAGATGAAAACATTCAAATAAAACCATTTTGAGTTCAAAGCGTTTAACAGTAATTATGGAAATGATAAATAATATATAAATACATTAATATAAATATTATTCTGCGTTTCTGCAGTTTTTGGCTGAAGACGATCTGATGAATCTAAATCGGATGTTAATTCAAATGTATCTGATCCATTTCTGCGCTTTATGGCGCTCATAACGCGTTTATAACTGCACTGGTTGTTGTGATTTATTGTTTATTATTATGATGGTCTTCGTACTTTTAGGTTATTAATGATTGAATCTGCTTTATATTCGTGTTTTATTGTTGTTGTTATTGATGGTTTATTATCAGGTGTTAATTGACTGTTTTGTGCTGGATTGTTTGTTTGTTTGTTTGTTTGCTTGTTTGTGTTTTATTTCGTTTATAAATGATTTTTTTCCTGTTTCTCTGCGCAGGTGCGTCTTGTCCGCGGGGAGCTCGTGGATGAAAGCGGCCGGTCAGTCTCAGAGTGGATCGGACTGATTAGAGCGGCCAGAAACAGTCACGAGCAGAACCTGGAGGCAGTGTCCGACTTACCTGGCGGACAGGTGAGACACAGAGCGGTGAAGTGCTGATTCAAGTGTGTGAATGAAGTTGATTATCTTCATCCTGACTTGTGGTGATTGTTGTGTTTCTGCTGCAGCGAAAGTAAAGTAGATGATCTGAAGTTATACCGTGTGTATTTGTTGGTTCTGGGGTCAGATATTTTACCGCGTGCTGAGGGAGGTCCAGGCTGGAGAGGAGCTGAGCGTGTGGTACTCCAGCAGTCTGGCACAGTGGTACCACATACCCACCACTGCCACCCCCACACACGACGAGAAAGGTGAGGAGCCCACCAGCTTCAGCTCACCACCCACTCACCTCTGACCTCTAACGCGCCTTTGATGGCCAAGATTTATTATTCAGGAACCACATAAACAACAGAGCAGAACGTTCTAGACTCTAACAGTGAGGGTCGTCGGCGTTAAAGAGACTTGGAGCCATGAAGATGCTAGACTTTAATAGACAAGATTCACACTTCCCTGGTTCCTCAAGGGTTCTTTAATAAAGGCAATGGTTCTATTTAGATGAGTTCTATTCAGTAGTACCATTTCATGCTTAAATGTTTCTTCAGATTGATGGAGAATGTGTTGTACCTTTTCAAAAATGGTTCTATGCAGCACCAAAAAGGGTCGAGCTTGTAACAATAGCAGAACCTTTTGGTGCTGTATAGATCCATTTTCAAAAAAGTTCTACTCTCACTTTGCAAAGAACCATTTAAGCATGAGATGGTCCTAGAACCGATGGTTCTAAATAAAGCCATTGCCTTTGCTAAAGAACCCTTGAAGAACCGTCTTTTTAAAGTGTGTTCTTTAGTATACACTGTTAAGAACGAAGTTTCCTAAAAGGTTCTTGGCCTGTAAAAAAGTATTATTTTATCGTTTTAGCATAAATCTGACGGCGTCTAAACGTTGATTTTACTGAAACTCCAGTAATAAACGGAGGGTGAGGAGAAAAACGTGATCATAAATCTAATCGCGTTTCAGCTTTAGGTGTGAACACAGATAAAATCAGAAAAGCCGAAAGAATGAAAACTTTTAGAATTTTTAATTGCTTTTAGTGGAGTTAGGATCGATATTAATGACCTTTTATTTTCAAATAAGTACTTTATAATAAATAAATAAATAAATAAATAAATAAATAAATACAAAGCGTGAAATCAGTCTGTACATGATAATAAATAATACAAAAACATAACGGAAATTTAATAATAATAATAATAATAATAATAATAATAATAATAAAATAAAAGATATGGATTTATTGAGCTTTATTGTTGATTCATTATGGCGCCACCAGCAAAATGACAGCCAATCCGGATTAGAGGCGGATTAGTATCTTAATCTGTTGTGTGTTTTAGATCCGCTGAAGCCTCTTAGTCACTGAGCCCAAACACCGATCAACACAACAGTGACTCAGATCGAATCGATCCGACAGCTTGTAATATCGATCATTCTGATTTGGGCTCAGATCTCTCTCTGATCTCAGCGCGTGCCGGAGTTTGATGGAGTTTCTGCAGATGAACCTCCTGATGACGCGCTGTTAACCGCGTTTTAAACGCGCTCTAACGGGTCGTGCTGTCCGGTCCGGTTCCTCTGCGGGAGATAAACTCTCTGAGGATGCTGTGATGAACAGCCTCTGCTGCCCAGCCGAGGTTAACAAATGTCACGCGGTCATTCATATTCATGCGCTCACGAGTGAATAAATGTTAGTGGAGGTGATCTGTGATCTGTACGGTCCATTAGCCGGAACACACTCCGCTTTGTTCCGGCCTGAATGCAAAACTTTTATTGTGGGATTATTATCGGCCCTGATTTGCCAACAGATGGAGCGACGCAGCTCATTGTTTCTGCGATTTCAAGCAACAGCTGCTGTCACTACTTCCACGGCGAGAGAGAGAGAGAGAGAGAGAGAGAGAGAGAGAAACAGAGAGAGAGACAGAGACACAGAGAGAGACACCCACAGAGAGAGAGAGAGAGAGAGAGAGAGAGAGAGAGAGAGAGAAAGAAAGAGAGAGAGACAGAGAGAGAGACAGAGAGAGAGAGAGAAAGAAACAGAGAGAGGGACAGAGAGAGAGAAACAGAGAGACAGAAGACAGAGACACAGAGAGAGACACCCACAGAGAGATAGAGAGAGAGAGAGAGAGAGAGAGAGAGAGAGAGAGAGAGAGAGAGAGAAAGTCCTCCTGTTTATTGGGTTTTGCTCTTTTGGATGTCAGTAATAACCATCAGCCCTTTAGCGCGTCACACACACTTTCACACTCAACTGGTGTCAAACACACATCAGACAAATCACACAGATCAATATACAAAATACCCCCCAGCTTTAATAATCACTTCGGCGGTAAAGGTGATGGATCAGGGTTTCGTTCTTTCTTTCTTTCTTTTTAAATAAAAAACGTACCGAACCGTATTAAACCGTGTACATTTCTTAATACAATTAAATCGCGATCACTTAAAAAGTCGTGCTTTTTCTTCTTATCACTTAATATTTAAGAAAGAAAGAAAGAAAGAAAGAAAAGAAAGAATTTTAACCGTTTAAAACAAATTTGTTGAAATATTAAATCGCTAAAAAAAATTCCATCCAATCGCAATAACTGCAAAAAAAATTACGTTTTTGATCTCAGCGCTCAGAATAGAGGACAACAGGAAAGAAAGAAAGAAAGAAAGAAAGAAAGAAAAAAGAAAAAAATACAAATCTACCATTTTTCAGTTGAAATAAAACCGTCAAAATTATATTTATCTCGCATTTCTCCTCACGTGCTCATGTGCGTCTGGAGACCCCCCAAAAAAGGTCGATTTCTCCTTATTTCTATAACTGTTACCACAAACATTCATTCGTGAGTAAGTTTGGTTTGAAATTTGCTTCCCGGATCATTTTAGTGTAACTGTTCATTCAGCTCAGCACACAAAACCCCTTCATCACGGGCTTCAGTGTAAACGAGTCGCAAACCCAGTTTAGAATGATCTGAGCTGCGGAGAATCTGAGCAGATAGAAAAGGAGAAGAGGAGGAGATTGATTGATTGATTGATTGATTGATTGACTGATTTATTTATTTATTTAAGCAATCAAAGCTCACTCCTACAGTATATTACCTGTGTATGGGTGCTGACTCTCTCTCTCTCTCTCTCTCTCTCTCTCTCTCTCTCTCTGTCTCTCTCTCTCTCTCCCTCTCTCTCTCTCCAGGTGAAGAGCGCTACATCTGCTGGTACTGCTGGAGGATGTTCCGCTACCCAAACACTCTGAAGGCGCACGTGCACTTCCACTGCGCACAGGCACGCGGCCCAGAGACCCTCAACCGCTCCCCCAAGTCCGGGGACACCCCAGGAGGACCTGAGCCAGGCGCGCGCCCTTCGGCCTCCCCAGCCTTCCCCACCAAGGACGGCGCGCTGGACATGAGCGTGACCTCCAGCAGGCAGCACGGGACTTCCTCCTCATCATCGTCATCCTCCTCCTCTTCCTCCTCATCCTCGTTGCTGCTCCTGCACCATGTGGGCTTCCAGCCTGGCGCGCGCTCGGCCTTCAGACCCGCAGGACTCTCCAAGCTCGCGCTCTCTGCGCGAGACGACGACGACGACCGAATTGGAGATCGAGAACGAGACCGGGACCGCGACGCGAGGGCTGATGGGAAACCGAGGCCCGGGCGCACCTTGCTGGAGCCCTCGCTCAAGGGCGGGCACCACGAGCCTGGCAATGCAGTGGCACGTGCTTTTCCCTTTCTGCCTCACTTCAACCACGACGACTCCACGACCACTTCCACGACGATGATGACTTCATCGCCGTCGTCCGCTTTCAAGCACGTGGAGAGCCGCGTGCACCATGCTCCTCACCATCCTCATCCTCCGCATCCGCCAGTCTCGCGATATCCGCCTCCAGCGCCTTTTGAGCGGTTTTCCTCGCCTCTGGATGGCGGGAAGCCGTACGCTGGGGGCAGCGGGGTCGGGGTGGGTGGGCTCGCGGGCGGCGACTGCGGCATGCCGCTGGTGCCGTTTACGGTCTACGGAGGCGAGCTGCTGTACGGATCGCCCTGCTACCCGCTCCGCCTGCACCTGGGCGGACTGCTTCGTTACCCGGATGCTGTTCCGTACCTGGCCAGCGCGCCCTCGCTGGCGCCCGACCTCGGCCAATTAGCGGCAGCCGCAGCGGCTGGAGGGGGACTTGATCGCGATCTCGTAGCGGCGCATGCGCAACGGCGCCTATCGGAGATGATGATGACGACAGCGACCGCTGATGAAGAGGTGATGAAGGGTCGGGGAGGGCTCGAGACGTCCGTGCGCGCCTCCACGTGCGCCCCAGGCAAGCCCAAGAAGGGCCACCTGTGCCTCTACTGCGGCAAGCTGTACTCGCGCAAGTACGGGCTGAAGATCCACATGCGCACGCACACCGGATACAAGCCGCTGAAGTGTCGCGTGTGCTTTCGGCCCTTCGGCGACCCCAGCAACCTCAACAAGCATATCCGGCTGCACGCGGAGGGAAACACGCCCTACAGGTGCGACCACTGCGGAAAGGTGCTGGTGCGCAGGAGAGACCTGGAGAGGCACGTGAAGTCCAGGCATCCGGGTCAGCGCACGAGCACCACGACACCCGGCGCAAGCATGAAGAAGGGCGAGGAAGAGGAGGAGGAGGAGGTCGGGAGGAAGAGCGAGGAGGAGGAGGAGAGTGACGTGGACGTGTGTTTCACTGATGAACAGAGCGATCACGAGCCCAGCAAGAAATAACAGCGAATAAACCTTTAAAGTCATAAATAAATAAAAACGCGTTGGCGCCGCGCTGAGTGACCGCGAGTAAACTACACGCACATACGGGTTTCTGTTTGGCTGTGAAGTTTTTCCTCCAATGTGACAAAAAAAGAGAAAAAAAATCGAATTTCATATTTTTTCTCAAATTCTGTCCAACAAATTTTAAATTTTATTAAAAAAATAAAAAAAAATGACTGCAGAAATATCACCGCCCCACACACACACACACCCCATTTTGGAGCTGCACTTTATACCAACACTTTCCTACACAATAACAGTTACAAACTGAGGACCAGACCTGTAAAAAGTCTGCATTTTTATTTTAATTTGAATTATTTTATTATTTTTTTATTCTGTTTTTGTAAACTGCTTCCATCTTTTAGTTCTTTTATAAACTCCTCTGTTTTCTAATCCCTCAGTTCTTTTGCACTTTTCCCCTCTGAAAATGTTCACCCCCCCCCACAAAAAAATAACAACTTTCAGGTTTAATAAAGAAAAAGAACTGCTGGGTGTTTTTGAAGAATATCGGTGTGATTATTTTTCTTCCCCCAAAGTTTATGTACAAATGTAATTATGGTATTAACTGTTAAGGTGTGGTTTGTAATGGTTGTTAATAATTGATATTGTAAAATGAAATATTTTTCCTCAATCAAATTCCTTTCATTGTCAGTTTTTTAAATAAATGACAAAAGAGAAAATTGTTTGATAATTAATATTGTTTACTGTGATGTGTGATCAGACTGAAATACAGCAGCGTTTTTTATTGTTTACTGTGAAACTAAAAGCTAATCAGTTCAGATTTTATCAACAAAAGCACTGTGCAAAAGTCCAAGACCCCCTTTCAATCATTGAACCTGTCAGTCAAAAGGAAGGTCAGCTACAGGTTATTCATTTTTCAGCTTCAGGAAAAAGTAGAAAACATTAATAATAAATTACACCTAAACATAAAGTCTCAACGAGTATATATATGTATATATATATATATATATATATATATATATATATATATATATATATATATATATACATTCAGTGTTTAGTGTCTCCACACTTTGCCTTTGTCACAGCTTCCCTTATTTTTAAGAGACATTCAGTTTTTCAAAGAAATATACACTCTTATTTTTTTATTTATTTTTTTTATTTTTTGCAAGGGTTCTTTAGTAAAAGGACTGGTTCTATTTCTAAATAGAACCATTTCATGCTCAAATGGTTTTTTGTATGGTGAAATGTTTTTTTCCGATTGATGGAGAACGTGTAGTATATGGTTAAGATAGTTCTTTAGTGTAAAGAGTGGTTCTGTTTCTATATAGAACCCTTTGCATATTAAAATGATTCTTTGTGTGGTGAAATAGTTCTTTAGAATAGTTCTTGAAGAGTGTGCTGTATATGGTTCTATGTATCTATAAAGAACCTTTACATTATCTATCTGAAGAATCGTTTCACCATGGAAAGATACATTGAAGCATGAATGCATTCTAAATTGGACTCATGGTTCTACATAGAACCATTCCCTTTACTAAAGAACCCTTGAAGAATCATCGTTTTTAAGCGTGATGATTCCTCCAAAGTTCAGTCGTAGAAGTTGGCTGCATTTTCTGCTTCTCACAGTCCGGTTCCAGATGTCCTGTTTTTGGTGCTCTTGTTCTTTTTGTGTTTCCTTTTCTCAGTAATAGCTTTGCTACCTGCACCTCCTTTAAGTCCCACAGTGTGAAGCAAGAGTGGAGCTTGATTTTCTCCCTTCAGTGCTGTTTATCTGTCGGTCACAGTTTTGGTGTCTACCAGGTCTTGCATGGCTGTTAGGCCGTTAGGCTGTTATATCGTTTGATCATTTTTTTAAACTTCAGTTTTGGAAACATTATTTTCCATGTTTTCCTTTGACTTTTTCCTCTTCCTTCTGCAAGTGGATTATCTTACATCTCCTCAGAAACACCTCCTGAGAAATGAACAAATAAAGTAAGGTGGTCTCTGACTTTTGCACAGTAAGTCTATTCGTGAAAATATGAATGAAGACTACAGGCTTTGATGTTGACATCAAGATAAACTTGAACCTGAACATCTGAAATGAAAATAACTGTATTCTATATTCATATTCACACAGCACTTTTCATTTATCAGAGAGTTTTAAGGTATTAAAAAGCAAAGAATCAAGAATTTGTAAAAACAGGCTCAGATTACAGGCCTTTGTTAGAAGATCATAGAGCCAGAAGAATTTCAGAGCCAGCGTGAGCAAAAGGGGGCTTTGAGAGGACAATTCCCACCGACTGAGAGATTTGGCTTTGGAGAGGTTTAATATGTGTGCAGGAAACAGACACTGCCACTCTTACCATAATAGCCTTAGTACCATTTTCAGAGGAAGGACTGGATGATTCTGGCCTCTGGAATGGCTCCCTGAGCCCTGGACAAAAAGTCAAAAATTGATGCCACATCACAGACTGGAAATCAGTTTCCTTTTCAAGGGAGAATGTCGGAGTAAATTGAAGGGCAGTTTTAGAAATATTAACACCTGCTGGTCTCTGACATTTGACCGCACCACATGGGGATTTGAACCAGTGACCTTGTAGTTATAGATGTGAATCACTTTACAACGGTGCTGCCGCTCACACACACTGAAGCTCCTAGGAAGCCAGCACAGTTCATCCGAACACAACAGGCTTGGACATATTTTGAAGAAGAAACTCTGAAGATGTGTGTTTGGTTGTGTTGTCATTGCCTTCATTAAAAACCTAACAAAGCTTGAATCTAATACTATTAAAGATTTACTGTTTGGTGCTGAGTCTCTTTACAGAGGCACATCAGGTCAAACCGTATTTGAGGCAGCTCAGCATGTCGTACAGTAATTGGTCATAATTGGCTTTGGTGCACGTGTCACACTGAACCGTCAGAAATGTTCTCTAAAGCAGGTCTGGATTTCAGCGTTATAGAACACGCACTGTTTCTGACGGCACCTCATTTTTTACATGCTACATTTTCAGTTTTAACAGGTTTTGATTTCATTATTATCCTCAAAAAAACCTGTTTATTTGCTGCATTAGCACCAGTACATTCTTGAGAACGTCTGACTTTTGTAATCCTTTGTCTGATTATCAGAGATTTGTAAAGGTTTTGTGAGCATCTTCAGTTCTTCCATGTCTTCCTCTCCTCCTCGTCCTCCTCCCTCCCCCACTCTCTGCCCCTCTGTAGAAATGTCACTGCTGTCTTCACATCCTGACACCAACGTGGAAGTGTCTCCTCAGCCACTCTGCTGCTACCAGTCCCTGCCTGCATGCTGTCAGAAGGATAATAACAACCCTTTGTTTATGGAACACTCATCATACATCACATGCAAACAGTGGAAACAATACAGGAAATAAAATAAGATAAAAGCACAAGTAGGACATAGAGGACTGAAGTCTACAATTTTATCATCGCAAACTGTTTATTTAGCCTTATTTGCCTGGAACAGAAGACATTCTTTCACATAAACACTTTCCCAGTTAGATGCTTAATGCTGTACACTGTCCAAAGGAAGCATTTTAGGAATGATAAAACTAAGAAGTAGACTTATTTTTTTTTTTAACCAGGAAGTCCAAGACATGAAATGATGTGAAACAGCTAGAGACGCTCGATGTTTAAGCATAGACCAAATTAGCTGAATCTTCCTGAAGAAGGGTTTTATTTTGACCTGCAATCAAAGTCTTTTAGTGTCCCAATTTAACTGCTGGAGAATTATGTTTATTTTGATAAACAGAGGAGTAAAACCAGAAATCATCAACATAGAAATAACATTTTCTTTAGGAACCATGTGGCCAAGAGGGTTATATGATGAAAATAAACTTTGGCCAAGAACTGAACCCTGAGGTACACCATGTGTAATGGAGGTTGTTAAGCCTGGGCGTGACTTAAGATAAGAAGAAAACCATTTAAGAGTCCTACCTACCAGCCACACAGCTCAGTCTCTATGTGTTTACATTACAAAACACTGTCAGTTATTTACCAGAAACAGTGTTTAATCAATTTTGGCTACTGTTGATCAAATTAGAGGTTGTACACTCTTGTGTAATTAGTCATACTGTGCAAACGAAAAAGCCAGTTAAAGTAGTGTTCTGTGTTTGTGAGAGAGAGCATTTTATTTTTCTACCCGCTGAGTAGTGTTGGGTATTCTATCGCTAGCTACTCTTGGCTTTTGTTGTTGGCTGTATGTTACTGTTGTAACATCATCCTGGATTTGGGCCAAAGACCATACTCCCCCACCACTCTACCCACCCCACCCCGCCCACCAGCGTTTAATCAATTAGTGCCATTCATTAGCTGGGGCACCAGAAAGAGGGATTGATTGAGAGACTCTGAGCTTTTCACACAGCTTCAGATTCAGGCAGAACTTTCACCCACCCACTGGCAACCTATTAACACCAGCATAGCTTCACACAGGCAGGCTTTTCACTGCAGCTGAAAGCCTGAAATGCCTCATATCTGTTTATGTAGCAAAACCATCAACATTCTTGGAAGAAGTGCATTGCAATTGACCTTTACAGAGGCCAGTTGACCCTGAGGCCAGGACTGGATGCTTTTTTAAAGGCCAACATAGTTACAGTTTGCATAATACGGAGCTAAAGGCAAACAAATCTGTTAAAGATTGATTGGTAAGAAGGAACATGATTCATCTTTGGAATGTAAAGGGGTTCAAAAAGATTTTGCCCTAAAATGTACTTTTTAAAATCTATTAATGTGGTGAGGTACATGGGGGACGCTGTAGGGTAAAATAGTCACCAAAGAGAATTTCTTTTTCATTTTTAGACAGATTTACAGCTGTTTTACCAATGTCAATATTACATATAAAACACATAAGAAACATGTAGGATTACTGGTCATTTTGGATAGTAAACTAAATGTTTATATTAACACGACCCCTGGTTCCTATGACCACCATTGTACAGAAGTCTGAGTCTGTGTCAGAGGTGAATGTAAGCACAAACCTTTTATTTAAAGACTATGAGATGCAGGGAAACCCTGAAATCCTGAAAGCCAGAGGAATATGGACGTCTGTCTTGAATCTTCATGGTGTCAATTAGTTTTGCAGTAATTGTCCTGCACAATGGAGCTCAGGCCTAGAGGCATCTTTGTGACAATGTTCCCAAAAAACCCATAAACAATTGATCACATTGCTTTAGAGTATAACAACTCCATCATCCCTGCACTGTCCTCACTGCTGACCCTACTCCAGAGATTCAGGAGAATTACTGACTATTTAACCTCATACAACAGGACACAAAAGCAGAGAGCCAAGGCGAAGAATGCAGCCCACATATGAAGCAAACAGGCAAACAGAAGCAGAAGAATGAAGAATGTCTGAGGATTTACCACAGAGAGACCACAAGGTCAAGATGGAGGTTAAAGGAAGAAGAGATGAAGCAGTGCACCAAGCTGAGCCCTTTTTTCCATCTCTTTGCCTCAGAGACCTTCTGTTAGACAGGAGCCATGAGGGTCAGGAGCTAACACGTGACGGCAGAGAGCATGAACAGAACGGAGCTTTTCAAAAGAATCTGTTTATTAAACGGAGTTTATTAAAAACGTCTTAGCACAGAGATCACCTACAGGTCATCACTTCCTTCCTTCTCCCACCACAGAGCAGGAGTTCACACAGATTACAGACAGTGTTATCACCCTCAGATGACCCACACAGTTTCCCCAAGTAAGCATCAAGGTTACATACCAATGATAGAGGCACAGAAAGGTATAGAACTTCTAAGATGACCTAAGAGAGAATCAGCCCTTGGAGACGATATGACTGCTCTGATAGACTGAATAAGCATGTAAAGGTTATATAATTAGCCACTTTCCAACACCCTCACGCCTTCGGGAAGCTTTAGAGCATCGTGTTCGCTTTAAACAGCCAAGGTGAGGATGCAGGTCTATGCATAAACTCAGCAAAGCATGGCAGAGGTTTCGCAGCCTAAACATCTACCTTTGGTAGAAAGACTGATAAGTGATCTGTCAGTTATGTTGCTGATAGCAAAAGCAAGTAATCATTCATTTTTTTATTTCTTACTTGTAGTTCATTTAAACGAGCTGAGACATTCTGAGGAAACTGCAGATTCTATATTTTCAATTCATACCACATTTGTGTTTGATAGTAGTAGAGAAAGTGTTGGTCCCACTTTATATTAAGAGTCTGTAATAACTGTGCAGTTACACATTAACAACATATGTAACAACAATGCAACTACTGTTGATGTTTTCACTTATGTAATTACACAAGTGTATCTTCATAATTGCATCAACATATTGTATCTTATGTAATTACACTTGTGTATTAAGGTGAATTGCTGTCTTTCCAGAAAGATTTTTATGATGGTAAGAGAAGGTAAATTATAAGAGTACTTGAAATGATAGAAGTGATAACTTTCCTAACACTTTTCTGGCTGTAGCAGTGCACTTGTGTCGTGACATGGTAACCAAAGTTCTGGCTTTAAAGCGCTCTATAAATTTATTAATATCAAAGCAGTAACTATGAGAGGCTGTGTGTTACTGCAATTTTATCATAGAGAAACATAGAACAGGATAAAATACTATCACAAGATAATAATATCATAATATACAAATTACATTTTGGGTTTAATTTCAGTCATTTTGATTGTGGTAATATTTGTACTGCTTTGTGATTGGTTACATATCTGACTTAGGAGCTTCTGCATTTTAGACCACAAGATTCCCAAAAAGAGCAGAACAGAGTCACACAATCTTTAGTTCCTGTGCTGATAAATGCAGGATATGTAGTAAGAAGAGCTGCAGTTCTCACAATTTAAGTAGATTTTTGACCTGCTGTTTTTGTATTTCTACTCAAGCTGGGAATAGCAATTTTACTTTTGCAATTATTTTTATGCAATCATCAATACTTTTACTTGAGTATTGATTTAAGCTCCTCTACCCTCCTCTGGACCTGATCATGAACAGTGTCAGTGTTAGTTTTGATGCTGCTACAGTAGGTGTAGTACTTGTTAGTGTCAGCACTTCATGTCGTTTAGGGAAAGTGGAGGTTTTTAGAAGGTGGTGGGTGTCACCACAGTACTTTGAAAAGTGGTGGGTCAAATGCCTGCTTGCCAATGTGCTTCCAGCTTGCTATAGTTATAGTAAACCATGTTTACAAACATTCAGATTTGATCTACAACAGTGGTCATCAACACTCCTCCTGGAGATCTACTTACCTGTGGAGCTTCACTCCAACCCACACCCAGCATGCTGCCCCCTAACACAGAGCGTCTGATTCAGCCAATCAAGGACATCCGAAGATATTAATTAGCAGGAGCAGGTGTGACAAATGTGGCTAGAACCAGACTCCTCAGGAGGTTCTCCAGGACCAGGGCTGGTGACACTCTCGATGGTGCCGCCAGACGAAATTTGCACCCATGAACTGAAATATTAAGTCTATTTGACAGATTTCAGATGTCAATCAACAACGAAAAGAGTGATCATTTATCATTTACTGCAATTCTGACTAAAATCAATACATTTTGTATACACAAAAGTCTTGAACTACAGTCTCATCTCTCACAGCTTTCCACCTGCACAAGCCTTTCTCTGTACTGTCCAGTCAAAGCCAGTGCTTTTGTTCTGTCTACTCTCACTCAGAGTCTCAGAGCTGAGGATCATCGCAGGTAACAGGCAGTGTTACACTCACAATGGCGGGAATTAAACTATTAAATCCTTTAATCAGGGACAAAAGACCTCAATTTGGGACCAAAATGCATTTTCACAAAGCAACCTTGATCAGGGACAAAGGTGCAAAGAAAAACAAGTGCATAGTCAAAGAGGAAATATTTCAGCACTGCAGTGTTAAAACTTTATGAATTCTAACTTAGGAGGAGGAAAATATTCATCTTTGGTTCATTCGTTCTGAAATGTTCACACAATGTAAAAGACACCTGCCACTTTCTTCACATGAGAAATATCTCCAGAAATGGGTTGATATGACAGTGACTGTTTCTCTCTGTGTGACTGCAGTTGACGGGGATGAAGCACAGAGATGCCAGAACCTGCTCTTGTTTGGCATCAGATAGGCTCCTGTTTCTAAGGCAACCTCAGTGTCAGCACACATTAAAGGACAAGTGCACATGTGACTGAAGAACGGACAGTGTTAAAGTATCCAGACGCCACAAAGAGATACAAAATTTTGACCTTTCTGAGCAACAAGGAAGGGACATATTGATAACGTCAAAAATGATATCAACAAAATTGACCGTCCAAAAAAATATTGTAGCGTAGCGCAGAAGAAGCGTGACCAGGAAGCAGCTCTCTTACTGCTAGAGCACTGTAGCAGTGTGTTTGTTAGCTAACTGGAGGATTGATTCACCTGGAAAGCAGAAGTGGTGGGGTGAAAACTTTAGGCCACCTCCCTCCCATCTAATGCAGACATTCTGAAACCCACAGAAATGCTGAATTCTGGAAATTGTCAGTTGCATTCAGTTAGATGCAAAAGTCAAGCAGCTACAAATGATGATGTGTTTTTCCTTCAGACATGAAATTTTAAAGGTAACAGTTTTAAAAAGGTAATAATAAGTTTTGTGAACAGATTTTTAAAAAGAAATGTAGAAGTTGGGTCTCCAGAACAAATTCAGTGCACTTTGAGATGGATAGAAGTCACTGGAACTGGAGGAATGAACCACTTTTTTAAAAAGATATTTCCTCAACTGGTGTTTGGACAATGGTGGTGAAGAATGCTGTTGGTCCCAATTAGGTTACTTTTATTATTAGTTTAAACTTTATCATATTTTACTAATTAAGTCTCTTAAACCTGTGCATTTCAGTGATTCTACCAGTTAAGGGGGACTTCATGTCTCATGACTTATTGCTCTGATAATCTAATTATTAATGCACAGTATTTTGTATAAATTATGCAAGGTTATGTCAGCATGGCATTCACAAAGCAACTCCATACATGGTCTTAAATATTATTAGCTTGCAGGTGATTTACTTTAACAGAAATCTGGTGTAAAATCTTTATTTTTTACTTCTGTAAAGTTACAGTTTTGGTTACACAAACATTTTCTGGCAATCACAATAAGAAATGTGTTATTTTGCAAAGCAAAACACTGAATATTATTGGATGCACAATTTAACCTGTTAGCTGTCTTTTAGCTTGTTTATTTTAGCCTTAGCATTCTTTTTTGTTGTTGTTGTCAGCCCTGCATTTCAAACAAACCAGGTACTTCATTTATTAATAAAGCAGCATAACAGGCCATTCACAGCACACAGGTATGTAGTGACTGGCCACATTAGTCCAGAATTCAATTATTTTGACGTAGTCATAAGTGTATTTTATGATTATTTCAAATGCAACTCAACCAATCAGATTTTAGAACCAGAACTATCTGTCTTTGTAAAATCAATTTTGACACAGGCTCCATGCCGACTGTTATAGCACATCGACATTACCTGCAGGCACAAGTGTCTATCAGAGCATGAGTCCAATCATTCGGGCCTTTCAGCAAACATAGTGATCATTCAGCTCTTACTAATCATCATTTGTTGAGGTGGATGAATCAGGTTTGAATTGGTGCCTAACCTCGGAGAAGAAAAAATAAGACTAGTGGTCCGAGATGAACGCACCGTTTTCAGAAGGAATACACTTGAAGAATGGCAAGGCTGCATAAAAAGACAGGGCACATCAAGAGCTTTAAATAAGGAACATGAGTAAAGCCCTTTGAAGGAGGGAAATGTGCAAAGCCTTTGCCGAATGGCATCCGTTGCCCTGATGATAAGGCAAACAGAGATACTGAGAAAATGGTAAAGGTATACCTGGATGAGGAAACAGAAAGCCTTCAATCCGCCAGTCATCTACAAATATCTCCTCAAAAAGCTTTCAGCTTTGCGAAAGCAAATTCTTGGCTCTAGCATTGACCTACTCTGCACTTTTGGACTCGTTTTAATTGCTTTGATGACCCCAATTGCTCTCGAAAAAGAAGTGATGCATTGCATTTATCTGATTGAACTGTGTACATTATTTTCACACTAATCAAAAACTCACTCTTGTCTTTCAATTTTCCTGCTGTCAGCAATTACTGTGTTGATGCAATACACGATACGCGTTATTCATGTGGAAATGATGTCCACAGTTAACTCAACTGACATTGGATGAATTCAGTGTATCACTGTTTTAACGATAATGTAAGAAATCTAAAATCTCTGATAATCACACACAACAAGCTGGCGGAAAAACACACGGCACTAAACACCAACCATCAAAGCTTGGTGGAAATGAACTAATCTGCCTGCTCTCTGCTCCAAAAGAATGCATAACATTTTCAGACGTCACTGTGTGACCAGGCTGTTGCGTACATCATTCTGTAGAAGCACTATTATGCCCTGTGATACTCTGACCTGAGGAAGCAGGAATCCTCAGATCACCTTGAGATGAGTTCTAGTGGAGAAGTTTAGTTAAGGCCAAAAATCATCTGATTCTGATTCCGATCAATCTTTCTCACAGCATATTCAAACTCTGCTGTCACAATGCAAAATTCCCAGCTCACAGCCTTGTCAAACTCTGTTAACACAGTACGTGTCCAAGCTTGAGGCCTTGTTAAACTCTGCTACCAAGGTGAAAAATGTCCTGGCTCTTAGCCAAGTCAAATTCCGCTACTGCAGTGGAAAATGTCCTGGATCACAGCATAGTGAGTCCCACAGTCCCACTGTCACAATGTAAAATTCCTTATTGAACTCTTCTACTGCACTGAAAGTGCTCTGGCTGACGGTCAAGTCAAATTCCTCTACCACTGAAGTGTCCAGGCTCACGTCCAGGCCTAGTCAAAGTCTGCCGATGCAGTAAAAAATGTCCCAGCTTGCTGCCTTCTTAAATTCTGGTACCGCAATGGAAAGTGTCCAGGCTCACAGCCTAGACAAACTCCATTACTGCGGTAGAAAGTCTTGGCTTGCGGCCTTGTTAAACTCTGCTGAGGTGAAAAGTGTCCTGTAGGGCAGCTCAGTCAAGCTTTGCCACTGCAGTGAAAGTGTCCAGGCACCCGGCCTCGTCAAACTCTGCTATCAGGGTAACAAGTGTCCAGGCTTGTGGGCTTGTTAAACTCCGCTACCACAATGAAAAGTGTCCTGGATCACGACCCAGTCAAACTCAAGATCAAACCTGTGGTCTTTAAAGCTTATATGTTGAATTTTCCTGTGATCACAGTGGGGCACAGCAACATTTACTGGGACATGTAACCCAGTGAATCGGATCTCTTGATGCCTCTGCAAATGACTAATGTTTCGTTTGACCAAAAGTCGTGTAGAAGCAGATCAACAGCTGAATATCAAATCATTCACAATATTTATCTGTTTTTCGGTCGACAGAGGAAACGTGTGTGGGTGAATGTGAGCAGATGTGATGGCTGATGCTGGCCAACCGAGCTGCTGCAGCAGGTAAGCCAGGCGGGCAGGTACCACACACACACACACACACACACACACACACACACACACACACACACTGACATACAGACAAACAGACACAGCTGGTCACAAGCTTCTAGCGTATGACATTGACATGAGGGTTTTAACAAGGACTGTCTGTACACACACACAAACACACACACACACACACACACACACACAGACACACACACACACACACACACAGACACACACACACACTCACACACACACACACACACAGACACACACACACACAGACACACAGACACACACACACACACACACACACAGACACACACACACACACACACACAGACACACAGACACACACACACACACACACACACACACACACACACACAGACACACAGACACACACACACACACACACACAGACACACAGACACAGAGACACACACCGACACACGCCAAATGAGTCAGTTATGCATATTTATCAATGAGAAAGATCAAAAGCAAATAAATGCACGAAAAATTGTCCAACTTTGATTTATTTCATTTCCAGTCAAAATGGCTATTAACAAAAAATTATTCATTTAAAAAACAGAAAATTACACAACAGCCTCAATAACTAAATATAATACATATTTGTCCACCCTTTGCCTTTACTACAACCTCCATTCTTTTCAGGTGACCTCTCTCATTTTCTATTCAAAGAAATCTGCAGGGATGTTTTTCCACACCTCCAAAGTTCAGTCTTAGAAGTCGGTTGATCATTTTCTGCTTCTATTATTCCAAGTAATCCAACACATATTTAATGATGATGTGGTCTGGACACTGAGTGGTCAGTCCATTGTTTTGAGAATTCCAGCAACTTCATTGGTTGATTTTTAAATGTTCTTTGTTTCTCAGTAACAGCTTCTTGACAGCTACAGAGTCCCTTCAGTGCTTTACTATGGAGATTAGACACACTGTGTTCATGTGCAGCTGAACATCTGTGTCATCACTGGGTGCAGCTAAAGTAGCTGAATTTACCAATCAGAAAGGGTGTCTGGATACTTTTGGACATATAAGCTTCACTCCAAAGCCAAATTTCTCAGCTGCTCATCATAGCAGGCAGTTCCAAAGTGAAGGATCCTTCGTATACAGCCTAGAAATGCAGTCTACATTCTGAGTGACTTCAAGGACACAGCTGGTGTTTCCTTTCAGACCGTCGGTTACCCACAGTTCTCTGCGCATGAATGACGTGAAGGAAAAAAAAAAAAAACAGCACCAAGAAAATGGTGGAAAACGAAGCCGTTGGAGCAGAGCTAGTTTTAAAATGTAACTTGTTCACATCCTTGAATTCGACTGATTAATTAAAGTGTTCGCCCAAATATCGTATATTAATCAGAAGTATTTGGTTAAATGTAGTTTATCGTACTACATAAGCTTGTTGGCGATTAACTACCATGGCAACAAACACAGTGCAGTGGCTCCATTTTCTCTCACAGCTCCCTCACAAGTTTCACACCGCAACTGCAAGAGGCGGGACCTTTCTGGTGACATCACTATGCAGCCTCGTTAGGACCATCTGTGTGAAGAACAGGCTACTAAGGAGACATAAGACAGTCCTACCGAGGACCCACACTGCCTCGGCTGCAGCTCAGGCTTTGGAACGCAGCCATAGTGTATCATT